TTAAATGTATGCTATAAATTAATAAATCAAAGGATTTTTTTAAACAGCCTTTAGTGCAATTTTAAATGTGTAGGTATTGCCAATTAAATTTAAAATGCCAATTAGTAAACATCTTACAAAATATAAATCATGGCTTAATATTTTGACTTGTTGATTTATTTGTTTTTAATGGTATTAGACTTTATAATTGTTCCTTAACAATAATAATGTAAAAAAAAATAAAAATAAAAATTTACTACAGAACAGCCTTATGCAGATGATATTTTATTCAGGAAAATTTAAATATGGAATAGGAATATATACATTATATTTGACTTAATAATTTAACAATCTAACAAAATGCATTACTTTTTTATTGCTTTTGCCCGTAAGCATTTAAAACTTTTCACTAACTTTATTGTGACTACATACTTTATATTCAGCCCAACGATCAACATTAATATTAGAAGAGTCAAGAGATAGTTAATAACACHAACTATGTCAACATTATTTTGCAGTTAAAATGTCTGCTTTTCCATAAWGACTAAAGGCTGAAGTATTAACTTAAATTTTTATAAATAAGTGATAATGTTTTAATCAACAAGTATTCCTAGTTCCTACACTGGTTGTTTTTATTATAATTTAAAATGTCGGGAATTCAAGTTATAAGCGTATAAGCTGTATTTGTTTAAATTCGTGTTTAATAATTAACACATCATATTATTATRGCCGTAGAACTCAAAGCTTACAAGTATACAAGTTTCAGAGAATTACATTTTTAACACTTCTTTTTTTTAATTTCATCGACAGCAATACGTTAAAATGCGTTTTTTTGTAAAATAGGTATMTAATTATATTCGTTTTATAGTTATAATGGATAAAATTAGGTGTTCAATTAATTTAAAATTTAACAGTGAAAATTTTACAYGGTAGCGTGGTACCTACACAACATATTATATTATTATATTTATGTTGATTTAGGTAAACCTGGGATTGCCTCTTTTAATGAAACGGCATTACGAATTCTATGTAATAAATTATAATGTTATAGGAAATAAATAATGATCGGAAATGTTTGATTTCGATTGACTGAAAAAAGAAAACAGGAAATCTATGACAGTAGTGCACAGACAGAGGATGTGAACCGGACCTACGGATCAACCGCAATAACACGGTTCAGTACCATAACAATGGTGAGTTTTCCAGTTTTCCTATTTTAGTAAAATCTAGTTACGATGACTTGTTAAGGTCATATCTAAAGGGCAGCTTTAAGGGCAAATTATAACGATAAATGGAAAGATKTATTATRATATAACTTATAACTTACAAGTTACAAGTTTCAAATCGTATATATCAACATAATTTTCAATTTWTTTTTATTTTTATTTATAAATATTTATACTTATAGATATATAAGGTTAGGTTAACCTAATCTAATGTAACCCAGATATATATAAATATATAAAAAACTAGTTGATGGTAATTTAAGCGGTTGAATGTTCATAATTTTCATTATTAATATTAATACAAAATAATAAATACTAATGTATACTAATAATATGTACAAACCAATAAAGTCTGACATAAAATATATYCAATATGTTTTGTATTCGTTAAAATAATCCTCACTATTTAAATAATTTAATGTTTATAATATCTTATGCACCAACTTGTCAATTTATACCTTTTCATTATACTCAACACTATAAAGTAATTTTTATTCACGTGGGAATTGTTCTTAATATTTTAATCATTATAATAATATAACTTATAAATATATAATATTTAATAGGTACCTACCTCTCACGATTTTTATTGATGACATTTTTGTAGTTAACGTTCAAACAGTCATTTAAATGTTGATTAAAATTAGGATGACTTGTTTTTATCTGTGAACGCATTATAAATAATTAATAATACCAATAATTAAAATCAAAATATGTACACTATGAGTAACCATGTGGATAATTAAAATAAACAGAGCACTCAGAGCACTTAAATTTTCGAATGTCAACCATGAATTGAAACAATATTTTGAATGTGTCTGATATCGGGCGTATGATGAATTAATAACAACAAATTGAAGTTTGCACTATGTCATTGTAATTCGGMATTCCACCACCACTAACAWRATAAAGATATTAATYATTAATGATATTATTTATGAGTTGATAAGGTTAATCTAAGTATCTGGATTTTCCGTAATACTTACAATTGCATAAAACAATGTAAATAATAATAGTTTTATAAGAATACAATTATAATTTAAACACAAACATTTTTACTCAGTACGATCATATTTTAAATAAGAAGTTGCATTAATTTATCTGATATTCAGCACATGATATGTCTTTAAATAAAATATATATCATCAGAAATTATCCCATTCGTATTTTAAAGAATAACTCCTATGATGAAATTTACGTTGG